AATATTGGTTATATAATGAATGCCAATGTACAACCAATGTTGTAGGTCAGTCATTACTCAATATTGGCATTACATTGGGGATATATTGGCCAAGATTTCCCAATGTAATGCCAATATTAACTATATAATAAATACTAATGTAGAGCCAATATTTCGTGTAAATCATTACCTAATATTGGGTTTACATTGGGCACACATCGAGGATAGATTGTTTATAACAGTACAATTAAGTAATACATTTATCAATCGAAGAAATGGTGTAGCACATAACGCAGAAGGCTCATAGTCCAGAGGTCCCAGGTTCGAATCCTACGTAGGTAACTAAATTTTCACATATGTGTAATATTGGCTATACATTATTTCCCAATATTAACGAAATATTAGAAAACAATATACAACCAATATTAAACATTGGGTAAGAATTGCACACCCAATATTGGTCCAATATTGTAAAGTAGACGCCTAGTCATATTTAGCCAATATTGGTTCAACAATATAAGATGAACATTGGTTCAACAATATTAGGCCAATATTGAGGATTCAATTTTTACCCAATATTAACTATACATTGTTTTTCCAATATTTCGCCAATACTATTGAATCAATATTGGACCAATATTAGAGATTCAATCTTTACAATATTGGCGAAATATTGGAAAAACAATGTACAGCCAATTTAAAACGTTGGGTAAAAATTGTGTACCCAATATTGGTCCAATATTGTTGAACCAATATTGGTTAAATATGACTAGGCGTCTACCTTACAATATTGGACCAATATTGGGTGTGCAATTCTTAACCAATGTTTAATATTGGCTGTACATTGATTTCCCAATATTGCGCCAATGCTTTGTGCTACTAGGGAATGAACGGACGAGGCTAGTAGGCTAACCACAATACGAGGCTGTATCATTAATTTAGTGACGACTCTGATAGTATCTACTCCCAAACTTCTTGGAATGAAATCTCTAAAAGAGTGAAAATACAATCAGTTTTGAAAAAAAGTGAAAATGTTTCACTTCTTGAAAAAGAGTGGTAATATTTCATTCCTTTAAAGAGATTTACCTCAGGGGTAAATGTTATAAGTTTTGTTCCCTCACGTCCAATTTCGATAAAACTATGCTCGTTCGACGTGTTTTGCACGAAAATACGAATTTAGCAAAAAGAAGCATTGTTTTGCCTTCTGAATCGAAATATCAATCGTTAAAGTTTGTTATGTTAGAAAATCTGTCATTCACTACGCCCGGCCCTGGTAAAAATGTTGATAGAGAACGATAGAAAAATCCTATCGTTTTGAATATAAAATTTGATTCGTAAATTCACTAATTTGAATCAGATCTTGTAGAAATCTTGTATAAATCTTACAAAATCCGATAAAACACGATAGGATTCATATCTGATCAATCGTGATGCTCGCGAGGTCGATGATAGAAAATGATATAAATTTATAGAAAACGATAGAAATTGATAAAAATCCTATCATTCTCAATCATTCTCTATCAACTTTTTTTACTAGTAATAATAGTTAAATTACATGTATAAGAAATTTTTCATGCATGAATATGTATAAATATGTACATATAAATATACATAATATTTGACAATCTTGCTTTTCGCGGGTTTTCTCCGTGTTCAGATCCATTCTTGGAATGCCAACGTTTCGTGAACCTTGCAGTTCACTTCATCAGGGCGAGGAGCAGCCTGATACT